CTGTGACCAGAATTTTGGCGAGAGTCTTTGCATATTTACCTTGTTTCATTTCCCAGATTCTGGACTTTATTTATTGACCGGTTTTGTTTTTTATTTTGAACTATTTTGAATTGCGTGACACTGAAAACCAGCAGTTGAGTGTCCTCGTCAGAGAAAACCGGGCTGTACCAAATGATCGAGGTCGGCCGTTCACCTTCATCTTTTCACGGTATAAAAGCTATCTGAAAAGATTAACAACCATGACAGTTTGCCGAGGTAGGCCTTCGTTTTTCTTCGACATATCACCACATCATGATTTTGGTCTCAGGCGGTCTAAAATGGCCGAAATTTCGGGCAACTTTAGGTGAGCCTAAAACTGAGATACTTCGTACAAATTCCAGAGACTCTTATTTTCGTACAATAATATTTGTCCGTTTATTAGTTGACTGAGATATATTTGAGGTCTTTCGCTTTAATTCAACGGTTTTCACGTGGTGCCAAATATCGCCGCCGAATCGGTTATGAGCGTGACTCAAATTTTAGCCATTTTCAGTCAGTGCGGCAGTTTATTTCCACAGAAAAAAAAATTTGTGATAATCTTTTGCACTATTATCAATATCCAGTTTAGTTAAAAGTGGTATCTACAGATAAATCGAAGTTATTGGTCTCGCAAAATCCAAAAAAATCATTAGTCAGAAATATTTCCCGCCAAATGTTTAGCGAAGAATGTCACCTTATTCCAACTTTTTGCGATTGTTATCCATGATTTACTGAAAGATCTGCAAAAATAGCTAGCTAAACTGCAGAAGAGACCATTTAAGTTGTGACATCGTTATCAACCTATGCAAACATTTCAAACTCGCCAAATCCTGACATTATCTAGGATAAATTTTCCCGCGAAAATATGTGATATGTAATACCGTCGAATATTCAACGGCTTTCCTGTATTCTGATTGGCTCTATTTTCTATGGCATGGTATAAATGATTGTATTTCACTCGCGTGAGATGGCTCTGTCCCCTCATTTTCTCTTCCTTAGAGAGACACCGGGCCACAGGTGAGGTTTCTGTTAGCGAGCTAGCCAAATTATTTGCTATTTTCAACGGATCACTCAGATTTTGCCATCGATCCTGTTGTAATGATTTAGTCCGGGTGCCCACGCTGGGAAAGAGGGTAAAAAAAGGATTTCGTTTACTCGACAAGCTGGCAAACTTTGACTCACCCAGCAATGTTCTTTAGACCTCAGGGAATAATAATGGGGTGGCAGTGAAGCTGGCTAAGTGGGCCATGGTAATTTACAGCACCACAAAGTACACGCCTTCAGAGTATCTATGCTGTTTTTTAAAGTGATTTTTACAACAATCTGGGACCAGGGGTGAAATAGTTTATGACCTATAGCCATCAACAGATTTTGTCTAATAATACAAAATTTTCACAGGATAGAGTTTGTGCCATGGATACCATGACGATGGTTAGAATAAGTCACGTGATCAGATTATGACGTCATAAAATTGACAAAAATGGAGAAAGTAAATATGGCGGAGTA